CCTCAACCTCCTGGGCTAAAGCAATCCTCCCACTTCAGCCCCCTGAGTAGCTGGGACTATAGGTGTGAGCCACCACACCTGGCTAACTTTTCTGATTTTTAGTAAAAAAGATGTGTTTCCATATTGCCCAGGCTGATCTTGAACTACTGGGCTCAAGCAATCCTGCTGCCTTGGCCTGCCAAAGTGTTAGGATTATAGGAGTGAGCCTCTGCACCCGCCCTCTCTTAACGACTGTTAAGTGTACATCACAATATTGTTAACTATATGTACACTGTTGCACAAGAGTTCTCCCGAACTCTTTCATCTTCCATGACTGAAACTCTGTCTCCTTGAGCAAAAGCTCCCCATTTCCCCTCCCCTCAGCTCCTGGAAACCACCATTCTACTTTCTGTCTCTATGAATTTGATGACTTTGGGTACCTCTTGTAAGTGGAATCATGCAATATTCGTGATTGGCTGACTTCACTCAGCATGATGTATTCAAGGTTATCATCGGTATAGCATATGGCAGGATTTCCGTTTTTTAAAAAAGACTGAATGATGCTTCACTGTATGTATGTACTATCTTTTCTTTATCGATTCATCCATCCACGGACATTTAGGTTGCTTCCACGTCTTGGCTATTGTGGATAATGTCGTAATGAACATAGGAGTACCGCTCTCTTTGAGATCCTTTTTTCATTCTTTAGGATATATGCTCAGAAGTGGGATTGCAGTATCGTACGGTTGGTCTATTTTTAACTTTTTGAGGAGACTCCGTATTATTGTTGCATAGCAGTACACCATTTTACAATACCACTAACAGCGTGCAAGAGTTCCAGTTTTTCTGCATCCTCACTGACACTTGTTACTTTTTGGTTTTGTTTTGTTTTTTTGAGATGGAGTCTTGCTCTGTCACCCAGCTGGAGTGCAGTGGCATGATCTCTGTTTGCTGCAACCTCTGCCTCCCTGGTTCAAGCAATTCTCTTGCCTCAGGCTCCCGAGTAGCTGGGACTACAGGCGCACACCACCACACACAGCTAATTTTTGTATTTTTAGTAGACACGGGGTTTCACCATGTTGGCCAGGTTGATCTCGAACTCCTGACCTTGTTATCCGCCCACCTCACCCTCCCAAAGTTCTGGGATTACAGGTGTGAACCACTGCGCCCAGCTGACATATTTTTTTTTTTTTAATAGTAGCTATTCCAATGAGCATCAGGTAATAGCTCATTGTGTTTTTGATTTGCAGTTCCCTGATGATTAGTGATGGTGAGCATCTTTTCATACCCTTGTTGGCCTGACTGTTAAAAGAGAAACAAACAGAAAGCAACAACAAAAACAGCTTCAACAAAAAGTCCCCAAGCAAACCCCATCCAAAGGTCAGCAGCCTTGAAGATCAAAGCTAAACTCATGAAGGTGAGAAAAAAAATCAATGAAAAAAATGCTGAAAACTCAAAGAGCCCGGTACATCTTCTCCTCCAGATGATCGCCAACACCTCTCCAGCAAGGGCTGAGAGCTGGGCTGAGGTTGAGATGGACGAACTGACAGAATTAGGCTTCAGAAGGTAGGTAATAACAAACTTCCCTGAGCTTGTTACTACCAAATAACAGAAAAGTAACAATTCTTTGCATTATTACCCAATGCAAAGCAGCTAAGAACCATGATAAAACATTACAGGAGCTGTTAACCAGAATAACCAGCTTAAAGAGGAACATAAATGACGTGATGGAGCTGAAAAACACACCACGAGAACTTCACAACACAACCATGAGTATCAATAGCTGAATACACCAAGCAGAGGAAAGAATTTCCAAGCTTGAAGACTATCTTGCTAAAATATGACAGAAGGTTAGGTGTGGTGGCTCATGCCTGTAATCCCAGCACTTTGAGAGGCCAAGGCGGGTGGATCACCTGAGGTCAGGAGTTTGAGACCAGCCTGATTAACATGGTAAACTATAATCCTAGTTACTCGGAGGCTGAGGCAGGAGAATTGCTTGAACCCAGGAGGTGGAGGTTGCAGTGAGGTGAGATTGTGCCATTGCACTCCAGCCTGAGAGACAGAGCGAGATCCATCTCAACAAATAAATAAATAAATAAATAATAAAACAGAAAAGAGTAGAGAAAAAAGAATGAAAAGGAACAAACAAAATCTCTGAGAATTATGGGATTATGTAAAAAGACTGAACGTACAACTGATTGGGGTATCCAAAAGAGACAGCAGAATGGAACCAAGTTGGAAAACATACTTCAGGATATCATCCAGGAGAACCTTCCCAACCTAGCAAGACAGGTCAACATTCAAATTCAGGAAATCCAGAGAACCCCAGTTAGATACTCCACAAGAAGATCAACACCAAGACACATAATCATCAGATTCTCCAAGGTCAAAATGAAGGGAAAATGTTAAGGGCAGCCAGAGAGAAAGGCCAGGTCACCTCAAAGGGAAGCCCATCAGACTAACAGTGGACCTTTCAGCAGAAATCCTACAAGCCGGAAGAGATTGGGGGCCAATATTCAACTTTTTTTTTTTTTTGAGACGGCGTTTCACTCTTGTTGCCCAGGCTGGAGTGCAATGGCACGATCTCAGCTCACCGTAACCTCCACCTCCCGGGTTCAAGTGATTCTCCTGCCTCAGCCTCCTGAGTAGCTGAGATTACAGGCATGCGACACCATGCCCAGCTAATTTTGTATTTTTAGTAGAGACAGGGTTTCTCCATGTTGGTCAGGCTGGTCTCGAACTCCTAGCCTCAGGTAATCTGCCCACCTCAGGCTCCCAAAGTGCTCAGATTACAGGTGTGAGCCACTGCACCCACCTCAACATTTTTAAAGAAAATAACTTACAGCCGGGTGTGGTGGCTCACGCCTGTAATCCTAGCACTTTGGGAGGCCAAGGTGGGTGGATCACCTGAAGTCAGGAGTTCAAGATCAGCCTGGCCAACATGGTGAAACCCCATCTTTAAAAAAAAAGAAAAGAAAATAATTTCCAACCCAGAATTCCATATCCTGCCAAACTAAGCTTCATAAGTGAAAGAGATATAAAATCATTTTCAGACAAGCAAATGCTGTGGTGATTCATCACTACCAGTCCTGCTTTGCAAGAGCTCCTGAAGGAAGCACTAATATGAAGGAAAAACCATTACCAGCCACTACAAAACACACTGAAGAATCAAGACCTGTGAAGCAACTACATCAACAAATCTTCAAAGTAACCAGCGAGCATCATGATGATGGGATTGAATTCACACATAACAATATGAGTCTTAAATGTAAATAGGCTAAATGCCCCAATTAAAAGACACAGAATGGCAAGCTGGATAGAGTCAAGACTTGTACGCTGTATTCAAGAGACCAAGCTGACATGCAAGGACACACGTAGGTACAAAATAAAGGGATGGAGGAAAATTTACCAAGCAAACAGAAAGCAGAGAAAAGCAAGGGAGAAAAATTTCCCAAGCAAACGGAAAGCAGAAAAAAGCAAGAGAGGAAAATTTACCAAGCAAACGGGACAATATTAGGTTAGTGCAAAAGTAATTGCGATTTGCCCAGGTAATTTACCTGCCCTGGCAAATCACAATTATTTTTGCACCAATCTTACTAGTATTTATAGGTCACCATCCAGGTACTAGAAGCACTCATTGTTTCAGTGCTCAATAATGCTAGACCTTTTCAGAGGACAGAGATAGGACCCTTTACAATTTTTTTTTAAGAAAAAAATGAGTTCATTCTGATCTGAGACTTTCAATTCAAATTCAGAATTCTAGGTGTTTTGCTTCATCTTAAAGATTTTACATCCGGGCTGGGTGCCGTGGCTCATGCCTGTAATCCCAGCACTTTGGGAGGCTAAGGTGGGTGGATCACGTGGTCAGGAGTTTGAGACCAGCCTGGCCAACATGGTGAAACCCCATCTCTACTAAAAATACAAAAATTAGCTGGGCATGGTGGCATGCACCTGTAATCCCAGCTACTTGGGAGGCTGAGGCAGGAGAATTGCTTGAATCCAGGAGGTGGACGTTGCAGTGAGCCAAGACCATGCCATTGCACTCCAGCCTAGGCGACAGAGCAAGACTCCATCTCAAAAAAAAAAAAAAAAAAAAAAAAAAAAAAAAAAAAGATTTTACATCTGAATTGCCTTTCTTCTAATGCCCCAAATATCTACTCTCAAGTATAATTACAGAATTATTTATTTATATTTTTCTCCACCACATACGCAGCAGTCTTAAAGTAATAACCCCTATACTACCACCAAACAGTTACTCTTGAAAACAGCTTGGTATTTTGATCTTGTAGTTTTCGTCTTATAGTAAATCCCACCAAGAATACATAGTCAAATGAATGTATTTAAAGTTCCTTGGAATAGCTCCTCTGTGTTTTTTTAAATTATTATTATTGTTATACTTTACGTTCTGAGGTACATGTGCAGAACGTGCAGGTTTCTTAACATAGGTATACACATGCCATGGTGGTTTCCTACACTGGTCAACCTGTCATCTACCTTAGGTATTTCTCTAATGCTGTCCCTCCCCTAGTCCCCACCTCCCACTCTGTGTTTTTGCTACCAACCCATTACACAGTTAGGAGCATTTACTTCATTTTGCTTTCAATTTTTAGAATTACTTTTTAAAGTTTAATTTAGTTTTATAATTATGTAAAATATATGCATGGTCAAAGTCAAATCTATAAAATAAGATATATTTATCTTTTCTCTTTTTTTTTTTTTCAAAGATGGGGTTTCACTATGATGGCCAGGCTGGTCTTGAACTCCTGCTCTTAGGTGATGCACCCACCTCAGCCTCCCAAAGTGCTAGGATTACAAGCGAGTCACTGTGCCTGGCTCAAAATAAGATATATTTAAAAGGATGTAGGCTGGGAATGCTGGCTCATGCCTGTAGTCCCAGCACTTTGGGAGGCCGAAATGGGGAGGATCACTTGAGCTCAGGAGTTCAAGACCAGCCTGGGCAGCATAGCAAGACCCCATCTGTACAACAATTAAAAAAAAAATTTTTTTTTAAAGCCAAGTGTGGCTTTGCTTAGTGACAGTATTGTAGCCGATGAGGTTTATCCCTGGCATGATTATTGCTAATTGAAAACTTTTCCCAATACCCCGCCATGATGACTTGCAATATAGTCAGCATTGGCAATTTTTGGCAGTCTCTATGGAGACTGAAAAATTTCAAAATAAATAAATAAAAGCCAAGTGTGGTTGTGCGTGCCTGTAGTCCTAGCTACATGGGAGGCTGAGGTGGGAGGACGGGTTAAGCCCAGGATTTCAAGTCTGCAGCGAGCTATTATCATGCTGCTGCATGGGTGACAGAGCAAGACCCGGTCTCAAAACAAACTAATAAATAAATAAATAAAAACAAATAAGCCTAGTGTCTGTTCTCCCCCTACTCTATTCCTTCTTTCTGTTAAACTATCAATGTTTAGTATTTAATTGTATGAAAATATTTACATATTTTTGTTTATATTCGTCTCTTTTGTTCTTAGAGAAACAGACCGTAAGGTGTCCTTAGGATGACATTGTATTAGTTTGTAGAGATCTTCCTTGTTCTTTTCATGGCTGCAAAGCACCCCATTGTGTAGATGTGCTATTGTTTACTTCTCAAAGTCCTTATTGATGGATTTTTGGCTTTTTCCCATGCTTTGGCTTTTACAAACAGAGCTGCAATAAACAGCCGTGTCTCTGTGTCTTTCTGTATCATTTGCGGTGTATCTTTATTATAGATTCCTAGATGTGGGATTGTAGGATCAAAGGACAAATGCACTCCTAAATTTGCTAGATATTGGCAAATCCTCTTCTACAGAGACTGTAATACCATTTTGCATTCCCACCAAGGAATGTGTGAGAATGTTGGTTTTCTCACAGCCTGGAAAAGACAGCGTACAGTATTAAGCTTTTGGATTTTGGCCAGTCTGATAAATGAGAAACAGTTCCTTGGGGCAATTTGCGTTTCTTTTACTGTTAGCAAGGTTTAGTGTCTTTCTGTATAGTTTTGAAATATTTGCCTTTCTTTTTCTGTAAACTGTATTTTTAGTGCATTTTTCTATCAGGTTGTTGGCCTTTTAATCTGTGTTAGAAACTCTTCATAGCTGGGCGCGGTGGCTCTTGCCTGTAATCCCAGCACTTCAGGAGGCTGAGGTGGGCGGATCACCTGAGGTCAGGAGTTCCAGACCAGCCTGACCAACATGGTAAAATCCCATGTCTAAAAAAAAAAAGAAGCTCTTCATATATTAAGAATATTGGCCCTTTGTCTGTGATGTAGTTGTACAGTTTTTTTTTCTTTTTCTTTTTTATTTATTTATTTATTTTTGAGATGGAGTTTCGCTCTTGTTACCCAGGCTGGAGTGCAATGGCGTGATCTCGGCTCACCGCAACCTCCGCCTCCTGGGTTCAGGCAATTCTCCTGCCTCAGCCTCCTGAGTAGCTGGGATTACAGGCACGTGCCACCATGCCCAGCTAATTTTTTGTATTTTTAGTAGAGACGGGGTTTCACCATGTTGACCAGGATGGTCTCCATCTCTTGACCTCGTGATCCACCCGCCTCGGCCTCCCAGAGTGGTCGGATTACAGGCGTGAGCCACCGTGCCCGGCCCTTTTTTCTTTTTAAAACCAATTTATCATTTGTCTTTTTAATTTTGCTTATGTTTAAAATTTTCATTTAATTTTTTTCATTAAAAAAACTTTAATTCCTTGAAACTTGTTCATCTTTTCCCCTTATTGCTTCTAGGTGTTGAGTCAGAATTAGGAAAGTTTTCCCCACTCCCAAATTATAGGAGAATTGGTCCATATTTTCTGTTAGTACTTGTATGGTTTCATCTTTACATTTAAATCTCCAACCCCCCTGGATGCGGTGGCTCACACCTGTAATCCCAGCACTTTGGGAGGCCAAGGCGGGCAGATAACTTGAGGTCAGGAGTTCAAGACCAGCCTGGCCAACATGGTGAAACCCCGTCTCTATTAAAAATACAAAAATTAGCTGGGTGTGGTGGTGCACACCTGTAATCCCAGCTACTCGGGAGGCTAAGGCAGGAGGATCACTTGAACCGGGGAGGCAGAGGTCGCAGTGAGCTGAGATTGTGCCACAGCACTCCAGCCTGGGCAATAGAGTGAGACTTCCTTTAAATCAATCAATCAGTCAACCTCCAACTCCTTTGGGACACACTGTGGTCCACAGCATGAGGAATGCCTCTGGTTGGTTCTGAGTCCATGAAGCTCTCCTGCTATCCTGATACCAGCTATGAAGTCACTCTCCCTCCCTCCCTCCTTTCCTTCCTTTCTTTTTTTTGAGACGGAGTCTTGCTCTGTCACCCAGGCTGGAGTGCTATGGCACAATCTCAGCTCACTGCAACCTCTACCTCCCAGGTTCAAGCGATTCTCCTGCCTCAGCCTCCCAAGTATTTGGGATCACAGGTGTGTGCCATCACACCCAGATAATTTTTGTATTTTTAGTAGAGATGGGGTTTCACCATGTTGGCCAGGCTGGTCTCGAACTCCTGACCTCAAGTTATCTGCCCACCTTGGCCTCCCAAAATGCTGGGATTACAGGCGTGAGCCACTGTGCCCGGCCAAAGTCACCCATTGTTTCCCATGACTTGGGATGCTGCCTCTATCAGCTTTCCATAGGCCATGGGGGCGATTTCTGGATTGTACGCTGTGTTCCTCAGAAGGATTGCTTCATTTTATTCATCCTTCCCTGCCAACGTCCTCCCAGCCTCTCCAGGATAATAGGGTGTCAGGCAGAGCATCTGTAGCAGGAGGCGCCATGTGGCTGGCTCTAGGGCTGCAGAAGGCTTTCCCCTGACAACAAAGCCCATTGTTCCAGGCTCAGAGATCAAGCTTTATAGGCAAATGGTTTTGAGAAGATCCGCAAATCCCTACGAAGCCACACTTTGCAGATAGAGAGGCATTTCTGGAGAATCACTTTCAGGGAAGAAGAGTGTGCGTTGGAGGGGCCTCTGGGAGGAGGAGACTCCTATTCTGTTCCTGGGGAAGGGATGGATAGGACCAAATGTTCTACATTTAGAACCAATGCTGGGGCCTGCAGGGAATCAAATCCTGGCTCATGATGACCCTTGAAGGATGACTTCTTCATAAGCAAGACAGAACCATCATCTATGCAGCTACCCACCCATCCACTCATCTTATAAATATTTACTTAATATTTAATTCCCTCCATAGCACACACAGGCTCTGTGCTGTGGGGGAGAGAGTCAGCACTTTGTTCCTTCCCCTTGTTTAGGGAGATGAGAGCAGAGGCTCCATGTGTCTGAGAGATAAAAATGAGTCATGGCCTTGTTTTCTGAGCAGTGTTCAACACATGTTTTCTTTTGAGACAGGGACTCACTTTGTCACCCAGGCTGGAGTGCAGTCATGGCTCACTGCAACCTCTGCTTCCCAGGCTCAAGAGATCCTCCTGTCTCAGCCCCCTAAGTAGCTGGGACTACAGGCATACACCACCGTACCCAGCTAATTTTTGTAATTTTTTTTTGTAGTGACAGGGTTTTGCCATGTTGGCCAAGTAGGTCTCGAACTTCTTGAGCGGAAGCAATCCACCTGCCTCGGGCTTCCAAAGGGCTCAGATTGGCTGGATGCAGTGGCTCACACCTGTAATCCCAGTACTTTGGGAGGCTGAGTCGGGTGGATCACGAGGTCAGGAGTTTGAGACTAGCCTGGCCAACATAGTAAAACCCCATCTCTACTAAAAAATACAAAAAATTAGCTGGGCATGGTGGCAGGCACCTGTAATTCCAGCTACTTGGGAGGTTGAGGTAGGAGAATTGCTTGAACCTGGGAGGTGGAGGTTGTAGTGAGTCAAGATCATACTGCTACACTCCAGCCTGGGTGACAGAGCAAGACTGTGTCTTTAAAAAAAAAAAAAAAAGCCGGACACGGTGGCTCATGCCTATAATCCTAGCACTTTGGGAGGCCAAAGCAAGTGGATCACCTGAAGTCAGGAGTTCGAGACCAGCCTGACCAGCATAGTGAAACCCCATTTCTACTAAAAATGCAAAAAATTAGCCGGACCTGGTGGCGCACACCTGTAATCCCAGCTATTTGGGAGGCTGAGGCAGGAGAATTACTTGAACTCAGGAGGTAGAGGTTATAGCAAGCTGAGATCACACCATTGCACTTCAGCCTGGGCAACAAGAGCAAAACTCCATCTCAAAAAAAAAAAAAAAAAAAAAAAAGGCCGGGCGCGGTGGCTCAAGCCTTTAATCCCAGCACTTTGGGAGGCTGAGGCAGGCGGATCACGAGGTCAAGAGATCGAGACCATCCTGGTCAACATGGTGAAACCCCGTCTCTACTAAAAATACAAAAAATTAGCTGGGCATGGTGGTTCATGCCTGTAATCCCAGCTACTCAGGAGGCTGAGGCAGGAGAATTGTCTGAACCCAGGAGGCGGAGGTTGCGGTGAGCCGAGATCGTGCCATTGCACTCCAGCCTGGGTAACGAGCGAAATTCCGTCTCAAAAAAAAAAAAAAAAAAAAGTGCCAGGATTACAGGCATGATCCGCAGCGCCCAGCCACCACATCTGCTTAAGTTAAATCATTGATTCCATGTCTCAACTCTGCTGAATAGAAATACAAATTCTAGGAGGAGAAGACAGCCAGGGTAATAGAATGACTAGGACAACAAATCTTTAATGACATGCTGAGCTGTCATGTTATAAAGAAAGAAAGAAAAAATGCTTTCTGGGAGACAGGCTTGAAGTGTAGACAGAAGTCATTTTCAGCCTTGGGCTTCTAGGGCAAATTTGTCCAATTGATTTTTGGTGGGTTGGTTTGGGGCAGATTGCTTTTCAATAAATTGTCTGCCTGCAGCATGGGCTCTAGCTATGAACGGCGTCTTTTGAAGGATTGCAGCTCCCACTTCCCTTCAGCACTTTTAAGATGCAGTGAACTAAGGCCAGGCATGGTGGATCACACCTGTAATCTCAGCACTTTGGGAGGCTGAGGCGGGCAAATCGCTTGAGGTCAGGAGTTTGAGACCAGCCTGGCCACTATGGTGAAACCTCATCTCTACTAAAGATACAAAAAATTAGCTGGGCATGGTGGAGCACACTTGGAATCCCAGCTACTCAGGAGGCTGAGGAACGAGAAGCGCTTGAATCCAGGAAGCAAAGGTTGCAGTGAGCCAAGATCATGCCACTGCACTCCAGCCT